ACGGGAGCGACAGCAGATCTCCAAGACGCACCGGTAGCCCCAGGGCCATCAGAAACTCCTCCACTCTCAGCTACATCCAGACTTCCTGCGGTATCAGGCATCCTCAAAGTGGCTGATGTTCCTGGCATATGATGTGCAGACGCATCAACCCCTGTGCGATGCCCAGATTCCACAGAGGCTTCAGGAGAAATCAAGGCCATCGGCAGGCGTGGAGGTACCTTCACATGTCCAGGAGGGGCTGATTTCTCGATAGTAGCCTCTTGTCCCTGTAAAGTCGAGCGGACACCAGGTTGCATCGGTATTTGCCCACTACCCATCTGTTGCCTTAAGCCCAAAGGGGTATTAAGGAGCTCCTTCAGAAGCTCTTCATGGGGTTTTAGGGGAATTTCTGTTAGCCTTTGTATTATTATGGGGCCAACTACACCGAAGTGCGAGCCTTCTTTGTGTTTCTCGAGTAGCCAGTGGCTGATCTGGGCGTCCTGAAACACCTGGTTCCTCCGCAATTCGACCGTCCTGTGCAACGCATCCAGACACTCCTCTTCAGTGCCTTCCGGAAGTAAGCGTGCTCCTTCCTGGAAACAAAGCGCCAAAAGCTGCATGCCGCCCTTTATCTGTGTGAGTGCTATCTGCTGCAGCGTAAGCAGCTGGGAAAGTTTAGCTACAATATCCAGAGGTGACATGGCTGCACCCACGAAGTCCATTTCGGGCAACTCTCTCAAGATGACATGCATGCGGTCGATGTGGCGCATACTGGCGCGCGATGGTTTCCGAGGCCCAAATAGTTGACGAAAAGCAACGACATCATACTTGATGAGCTCCACTGCGTTAAACAGTGAATCCCGTTTATTCGGCGCAAGCAACGAGCATAGGGCGGACAGCTCAACTACGCAAAAACGCAGCAAATTTGTGAAGCACCTTAAACCATGACGACTTGGCATTGAAAGCGACGCCAGTCTGGTCTGTCGCATCGTTGTGGCTAACTGAGATGTGTAGAGTTTGGCCCCTTTAAGTACTCGTTTGGCGTCAAGAATGTCGCCTGTTGCACTAACAAGTGCTGATTTCCCCTGCCCCCCGGGGATAAGAAGAGTGTCACAGTCTTTATCCCCCTTCCCAACACCAGACAGTGACCGCAGGAGTCCTTTAGGCTTGCCTGAATCCTCCAAATGCCTGAAGCAACACAGTAGCAAGTAAGCTGTTGCAACAGCAGCCAGTGCTGCAAAGGTGAGAGATTGCTGGTGGGAAGGACCGTGGCCACGGCGGCGCTTCACCCTGAAGAGCAACGAAGAACCATTACGCTGATGAATGTAAGTTTCTGTGTTATCTCTCCCCCACGACGAAAGCTCCTCATTTAATTGTAACAGTGAGGCATCGCCCACTCGGCCGCTCGGCTTGCTGTGCATCCGTGGCGTGGTATCTCCAGCCTGTCCTGCGTTCTGCATTTGTGATCTTTAGCATTTCACACGAAGGGGAGCAGATGCATCACAAACTCCACCAAGAGACAGGCGATGCCGTGTGCGAAAACGCATGGGATACGCGAAGCACAACACAACTCGATTGGTCGGTGGGTGCCACTGAAGAAGTCGACTTGAAAAACTAACGCTTTATCTAGCGCGAAGAAGCCTTCTGCTTCCATACTTGGTGCATTAGGTTATGAACGAACGATAGGGGTACATTGCTGGGATGAGAAACAATCGACTTCTTCCCTCTCTCTGCATGACACTGGGGTGCCGTGTCCTGCCGCCCTAGCACGTTTCCACTTGGTAAATAAACCCAGATTCACACCAAAACACTGCTCAAATTTGAAAGCTCATCTCCAAAAAATACACCTGGATGCTATTCTATTAGAGTCTCTGCTCTCCGCACAGCTGAATAGGGCTGCTGCACGTGGGGCCAACAAAGTTCTTGCGGCAACCACTGGTCACCACACCCCTGGCCGACCAACGCAAATGTAATACGTCAGTTTGTAAAAGGAGATTTCCCACCAACAACACCCTGCAACTTTCACTCACCTACGAGAAAACAGCATATTAGGTGTTAAGCCGATTGTAGAAGTTAATTGCCCGTTGGCCCCTACTCAGTATTGGAAGTGCCATAGCGCAGCTTACTACCGCTGCTAGAGTAAAGAATATTGAGAGGCCTACGGTAGCTTGAAAAGATATATGCAAACTAACAAACCGCCACGAAACAATGGCCGAAGCCGCATTAGGATCAAAAGACACCGATTAACCTCCGTCCCAGTTAGCCAACATTGCGGCTGTCTGCCTTCCAATACACGAGGGTGTTCGTCATTCCTTAAATGTACTGCAGTTTTGTTTGTACTGTTTGTGCGCTTCTTTTTTTTTGTTGCCCGGCGTTGCCCCTGCCGTTCCTGTTCTTTCCTAATCCCCCGGCAGCTTCCCTCAACGAATCTACATGTATGTGCACATTTGTATCTCCATTTCGCGGAAGTCTCGTTTGTCTTTCTCTTATTCTTTTTGGGTCTACCACTGATACTGTCTCCTTTTTTGCACCATCGTCTTGCTTCGGCAGGAGTTTCAGCAGCGCGAGCCTCTGGGTGATCCTAGCTCCGCGAAGGGCTATAATTAGTAGCTACCACCATAGATGTGGTGTAGTTCGGTGGAAATGCGGGACTCAGGACTGTGAGAACACTAGCGTCCTATACACGCGTACAACACCTTCACTTCGCAGCAACTTAAACTATGGGTTCAGTGTTCACTGTGTTGTTCAAGGACATCGGAAAGCTGTAACCGGGCGCTCATCTGTAGAAAGGTGGAACAACGTGCGTTCGCATGCACCATTGCAAGAATACACAGCCAGTGTGCTCCTGAAAAGAGCATCCGTACACCTATTTCCCGTAGGAGCATACAAGAACCAGTTGCTTCAGGCAGGCAACGTACACAATTCAGCTCTGCGTTGACGATATATACTGGCCGAAAAATTAGCAGCTGTTAATAAACTTAGAGGGGACAGCTTTTGAAAGTTGCAATAGTATGATTAACTGTCCCTGCGTTCCTTGACCCTCGTACTGCAACCAATACATCAGAAAGAAACGCTCTGCATCCCATTCAAGGGGGTGCCCTTCAGTTCTC